GAACTTTTTCCTGATAGCCCCGCCGCCCCAGGCACTGCTTCACACTTGCGCCCTTGCGCTCCTCTCTCCCCTGGAGCGCCCGAAGCACTCCCTCGCCTTATCAAATGCCCTGCTTGCCTCTCTGCCAGGGGCTGGCAGCCCTTCTCGCTGTTGTCCCAAGAGCAGTTCTGCCACCCGCAAGGAGCCAATCCACACACAGAGTCGAGGCGTTTGATTCATCTACAATTCTGTTGAGAGGGGGGCTGGGTGGCAAATCCACAAAGCCAGCATGGCAACTACCAAAACTTTTCTCTCTTTGTAGATTTTAGCAAAAAATGGCATTAGTGTTCATTAGCTACAAGTTACTGAGTTCTCTTATTAATTAGTATTCTATATTCTGTTGGGTAATGATTGTCTTGGCTTCTCAAGACAATTAGATCACAGGCTCAGTGTTTCTCTTCTTTTGGGTCAGTGGGTTTCTTGACTCAGTGGACCATGAGTTGGTGATCACAATCTCCCCTTGCTGGAACTACCTTAACCCAGTAAGAGCTGACTCAGCATGCTTCCCGAGTTATCTTTATTAGTTTCTTTCTCATCTTGGGGCTTCTACCAATGTCCTTGTGGCCTGTAAATTCTGCATTCTTTGTCCCCGCTATCAGTGGTAAATCATTCTTCGCAAGATTTGTTAACTTCCTCCTAAGTCTCAAATCACTGAAACATGTTGAGCCCTAAACCTTAGCAAGGCATTTCTACTAACAAGCAATATGTTCTCCTGACACCTGGACATCAGTTAGAGCTTACTTGCTAGCTACCCATTTATTGGATGAAATCTCCTTTCTTGTTTATTAAACTTGAAAGTGTACAAAGATCAAAAAGATCTTTGTACAATAAAAAAGATTTATTCACCAAAGAACATGGTTCCTTATAGAAACTTTTACATATTCCATGTTTTGCATCATTGCTGCCAGGAACAGGATCAGAGTGGAATAAGTTGTGTCAGGGGAGATTTAGGTTGGCTATCAGGAAAAAGTTCTTCACTCAGCGGGTGGTTGTGCACTGGCTTCCTAATAAAGTGGTCTTAGCACCAAGCCTGACACCATTCAAAAAGCATTTGGACAATGCTCTCAGGCACCTGGTGTGACTCGTGGGGATGTGCTATGCAGGGCCAGAAGCTGGACTTGATGATCCTTGTGGATCCCTTCCAATTCAGGCTGTTCAATAATTCTTGGTCCCTTTGTATGCTCCTGCCTCTGGCCTTTGCCTGTTAGAATAAACCCATTTGGAAATGCAGCTTCTGTCACTCAGGACCTGCACAAAGCCCAGGGTGACAGAATTCTGCTCCAGGCTTGATGCCCTAGGCACCTGTAATGCAAGCACTGATGAAAAAACACCTTGGTGTCTTCCCTTGGTGCCGGGGAAACTGAGACCTGATGCAGTACTGGCTCCTGGAGAGAATGGTCACACTGGTACCAGTGACCCATCAGCAGCAATGAAGCACCTGGAGCCATCTCCTCTGGCTCCTGGCATGCTGATGAACCACTGGCCACAGTATTTGTTACGGGCTTTATTCACTGTACAACCAAAACTTATTTTTGGCCCCATTCCAGAACCTTGACTTCCAGCTCAAGGTTAAATTAATTTCAACACACTTGATTTCAACAGTCAGCAATTTTCAGTGGCTAGAAAACTGACACAGTAAAAAGCAAAATAATCCAAAGGGAGTGGTTCTAGCGCTGTCACAGAAGGAATGATGGGATGGGTGCAAATGCACTGCCTGAGGTTTATGGCTCTGCTGAGATACTTGCAGATTCATATTATTTCACACCACCTTCCCTAGAAAAGGTGTCCTTTGGCCACAGTTAACCTACAGTGCTCATACAGACACACCAACCTATGGTAAAACTTTAACTTAACAGTAAACTAACTAACTATGCAAAGAAGTCATTGGAAGAATTTTTTTCTTAATCATACAACCAAGTAATTCAAACCCAATACATTGAGAGGAGACAAGGGCTTTTCAAAGTTAGGGGTGCTGTATTAAAAACAAGTCAATCCCTACCTGTAATGTCAAGTTCATTGAAGTTCATTGGTTAAAAAACAATGTTAAATGTTCAAACAGGTTTAGACAAACACAAGGCATTAAGTACAACTGTTTGATTTATTGAAAACTGCTCTAACATAATTCGTTATGAGATTGTCACAGAGTGTAAGAAGGCATCAGAAATGCCACACTGAACAGTCCATGGCTGCATTATCCCTTCCAATTCCCCACCAGCAATTAGGAAGGCCCTAAGGCTGTGTGGAAAGGCTGATACAGTACAAAGGCTCTCTATAGAATCTAAAAGAGGATTGCAGTACAATATTGTGCTTGAGTGTTAATACGTTCAGCTGCTCCAAGTGTAAACAAGCTTCAGGGGGATCAGAAATTGCCAGAGATTGTTTAAATCAAGACTATTTAATTTGACACAATTCCTTATTATTTTTGTTGTGTGTTTTGTTACAGGTGTTTCCATCCTAAAACTCCATAAAGGCTGAAAGACATGCAGTTGTGGCTGCAATCGAAACACTTACTTAGTGAAAGTGATAAGGTATTCTGGGTAAGCTTGAATATCATTAAAAATAATGAACATGGATGGCTGGCGCATGTTATCTGTTGAGCTATCAAACAGATCTACAGAGTTGCTCATATTTTTTTGTGCTGGAGTAATTGATCCTTTTTTCCCCAGAGAATATTCTCCGACAAGGACTCGGGCCAAGTACATGTACTTCCTCCCATTCACATCTGGTCTGGAGTAAAGGTCGTTGGCAGAATAGCTGGCGTTAACAGCAAAGTATGTTCCGTTTCCGAAGTTTGCAGCTGGAGTCAGAAAAGCAAAGGTTTGTGAGTGTTTCAATAGCAGCAATTCCTTATCTGCCACCTTCAGAGCCTGTGAATCTCTGGACAACTCTGCTTTTTATTTGCAATAGGGAGACAAAACAAAATAAATAATTCTGCATACAAGGTAGGGCTATACATGGCATGGCAAATCAGTCCTAGCCCTATACAGGAAAATGGAAGTTGTTTTGAAAGTTACATTACCATGCATTCCAGCAAAGCTCCGGTTAAATCCATGGTTGTTAATAAAGATTAATGACTCCTGACTCGTCCCATGAAACAGAAGCCTCTCATTATTTCTGCCACCGTTTTTTTTATCCATTTCACACTTTTTTATTTGGTAGTTTTTCCAGAGATATAGGTTCTGTACCCTCTCAATCTGTGAGGTTTGAAAGTAAGACAGAAAGAAATCAAGTGGGTAGGTTTATGTCACAAAAAATTAGCATATCAATCATTCAATCTTCTTCCAAGATTACCATCTAGCTTCAATGCACATATACCAGATGATTAAATAAATAAGTTAGTCAGATCCTTCCACACTTTGGCATGGCAGATAGCAGAACCTGGCCCAAAACACGAGACAAACACTTCCTGGGAAACAATACAGGAGCTTTTCACAGGTTTCCAGGCCATAGATGCCTGCTGAGCCTGCACAGTACACATGGGTTATGTGGGCAAAAGATGTGCTCTGCTACAGCAAAAAAACATTCCAAGGAAGAGCACTCTCCCCTGGAGTTGAAGAAGTGACTGCTTAAGAGCTGCAATACTGCAACTGCAACATTAAACTGATTAAAGCTGAATAAAGTTAGTGACAGCCAGAAAGACTTGTCCAACTTGAGAAATCCCAGGGGAATTTCTTTTTCTGTTGCTATCAGTATCCTTCATCACTTGCCATCAAGTTATTTATGCTCAGAAAAGATTACCTGCTTTTACCTTTTCAATTTTGAATAACTGACAGGTCTGCAGAAACCTTTCTTGCACATCTTTATACTCTGTTGAGTCTGGTTTTAGTTCCACTATTTTGAGTCGCTCATTTTCCATATGGTCCCACATCTGAGGGAGCACTGTTGACTTTTGATCTGCAGAAGAATACAATCAATCATACTCAGCCAAATCCCCTGCTTAAAATGAAACATGACCTGCTACAAATGCTGCTAGAAATCCATACATCTTGCTTATGGATGACTCAGAAAGAGGTATCTCCTTGTACTGTAAAGGACCAGTAGTAAATAGAAGAGGGCACAGCTCAAAAAGAGAAGTGAGCTGAGATCTAGAATGACAATTGCTACAAGAAAATTATTGCTAGTAAGCCTGTTAAGAACATCAGAATGCATTACTCTCTTCTCAAAGTATTTTAAATAGCTGCTAAGTTCTTTTATTTCCCAATTTGATTCCTTTCTACATTCTCCAGAAAAGTATCTGCACAAAGCTCCTAACATATAATTTAAATATTCTCATCATTCCCTTCTCCTTTCTCTTCCTGGATGCAACCAGGTTTTCACATAGAAGATCAGTCTGTCAAGATGCTTTTACTCACCTTCAGATTTGTCAATCCGTATAATGGATATCTGTCTTCCTTGGGTATCCACAGCAGTCTTACGTTCCATATCCACTGCGTATATTTGCTCACCAATGGTGACTTCAGTAGTTTTCCGCTTTCCCTTGTAAGCATTTTCCAACTCTGCATTTGTGAGACTGTTGAAGGGCACATAAGAATCTTTTTCAAAATATTTCCATTCAACTGAATCTTGTAAAAGTTTTGCCTGGACCTCTTTAGCAGCTTTTACCCTGAGGATCATTTTTTGAACAGCTAAAGAAGCCAGGCAGACATCTTTTGTAACCCCTGAAATTTCAATAGAGGTACTCTTCAAGTCAAGAACAATTTTTAATTTCTTTTGTAGGTCATCTAGTTCTTCACTCTCTTCTTCACCAAAATGAGAGATAGATTCATCTACAATTTCTGTTTGAGATTGTTCTCTTGAAATTGCACTTCTCAGCCACTTTTCAGCTTCTTCCACTTCTTTTTCATTTTCACCACAAATCTGCACAACAGCCAGATCAATTTTCTTTTCCAAAACCACTTTGGTTTTTGCCTTTGGGGAATGTTTCTCAGAGCTCCAGAGTGCTACATTGAAACACATAAATATTGTCATTAATATTATTCTTTATTAGCTGGTGCTAAACAGATTGATCTATAATCTGTACTTAAGTGATGTCTACTTACATCTACCCATGTGATATGCCTTGGAAACCAACGATTTGATTCGTGTTGCAGTAGACTTTTCTCTTTTCTGCATGCTTGCTTGGAACACACTCATCAGATGTGGCTGAAAGATGACAACTTTAATCATTTTCACAGATGTAGCCGTATTCCTTTTTGCAAAGTCAATTACTGCATCTATCATGTTGTCAGCTGCCTCAGCTGGATTGCGGCGTGCCTCTCCTGAAAAAAAGTTGCAGATATTTTGCTCTAGAAAGTGTCAGTAACTGTTACAGATGATTAAAACATCTTTAAAAGAACAGCTATGAACATACCCACAATCACCTGGATTACGAACAGGTTGAGAACAACGTCAGGCTGGCAATTAAGAAAGGTTTCTATTTATCAGGAAAAGAAAGTTGGGGACCACCTTTCCAGCAAGGGAAAAATGGAAGTTTCCTATTGTTGGCTTGGCAACCAGTCAGGTTATGATGTAGATGAGACAGCTTGGGTAACTAATAGGCCACAGGCCTGCTGCTCAGTGGCCCACTAGTCCATTCCTTGCACAAAATATGAGCCTAGTTTTATTCATACAAGAGATTTCCACATGCATGTGGTACAGTTCTGGATTCTCCAATTCCAGGGATTTCTATCAAACTAACTGAAAATAACAAGAGAAGAAAAAGGGACAATCTGGGCTTTTTGACAGGTTCATGTTCCATCTGTATCAACACTACTTGTGCAGCTGCTGGCCAGAGCTCCATCATCTACTGATCTCAGCAATGGAGAAGTAGATCGCTGGCTATTCTCTGATGAGCTGCCCACACATACCAGGCTGCACATTCTTCAGCAAGCACTTACCTTTCAATCCCTGTTAGCAAGGAAGTGCTGGCTTTAGAAAACTCATGCTCTTTAGATGCAGAGAAGCTTTCTAGCTTTCATAAGCCTCTAATAACATTTTTAAAGACTGCATATTTCCAAATATATTTTCACCAAATAATAACCTCTCCAGATAAATCAAACTCATCACTTGAGCCCTGAGATCAGCTGAATCACATGCACTAAACCCTTTTCAGAAAAGGGAGGCACAGACCTGTTCCAATTGCTGGGAAGGTGACAGAGGTATACTGCCGCAGTTCACACTCCTGGAGCACCTGGGAAACCAGGGACCTGATATCATCTCGGTAAACAAAATGAATTATTTTTTTGCATGGCAGATTTCCTGAATGGGTGATGATATAGTTGTTGCCAGTTTGCTGGGCTGAAATGTAAGTAGGAGAAAATAATCAACAATTATCCCCAATATAGATGTGTACTAGTCCTCATTAGGAAACAAGAAATGGTGACAAACACGCCCCAGGATAAGCTTTGTGTCTCCTTCCATAAAGCAAGCAACCCCATCGCTCAATTTTCACTTCCAAGGCACAAGAACTCATTTTAGTTTTGTAAAATATTTGCCTCCTTTGGCAAATAAATTTAGTGGGTGCCTTTATTTGTCAGGTTTGCTCAGTAAACTCGTAGAATTTCATGCAGACTGGCACTCTGTCTTCACACACACACAAATAAGTATGCCATCTACCTGCAGGCCACCTAGCCCAAATTACTCTCTTGGCCTGTTCAAGAGAAGCTTGTTCACCTTGGATCTCTTCCACATAATTCTTTCCCTTTGACTGGTCTTCCAAGCTGACCTCCAAACTGCATATTTCCCACTTGCCTTATTTTCTGGCATTTTAAATCACGTACTCATCCATCTTTACTCCTCTTTCATTATAGCTGCTGTCCAACAGCTGGATTTGGCCTACAAATAAATGCCCCTTCTGAAGCAGGAACCCAGCTGAACACAGGAACACAACTGAAAGGCAGTCACCTAGAGGATGTGGTAGTGAGTTACTGGTTAGGCCAACAGGAAACATCTCACTGAGAAATAACAAAGGGAGCTGCAGCTACACATTTGTTTCCAGTGAGAGGTGGTTTCTCTATTAACATTTTTGCCAGCGTCACCCCTTGCTCACGGCTCTGTTTGATGTTGATTTGTTTTATATCATAGAAATCTTTACTGGAATAACTAATAGATTTGGATATTTATGCTTAGAAGCTGTCTCCTTTTTGAAGATTTTTCCTCCCCTTCCCTCATTAGATGTTTTACAAATACCACATTTAACTGATGAAAACAGTGCATAATACAGATGGAACTACAGTAGTCAGTACTGAGTAAGTATTCCAAGAGATTCCCTGCTATGGATTAACACCTTTGGAAAGGTCAGAAATGTTGTACTATACCTAGTATACCACATTCATTTTCAACTGCTTTTCCAGCACCACTCAGGATTGCTCTGGAGACACCTTAAAAGAAAAGACCAACATGAATCCACTGTTACTGTTCTTAAAGTCACATCTGAGGCAGAACTGTATGCCTTATCACATCTAAAATATCTCGATTCTGATAACATTACAGATTATAAATGAAAAACACTGCAACCAAAATTTTAGCCTTATGTGCTTTTCAATTCAAATTGATGTTTTGAGTACCTGACAAGTTTCACTAAGGTCAAAACCTCACTGAGGTTTGTCTTCTCCTTTAGTCTGAGAGGTGTTCTATAAAAAGATTATATATATATAAAAAAAATATTGGTTTTCCTCTCTGCAAGGGAGTCTTAAACATGCTGTCCTATAACATAGATTAACAAGTGAATAGTTTCAGACACTTTCTCATTGAAATTTTGTACCCTAAGAAGCAAAACAGAAACTAAATTGTGAAACAAATAAAAGGCTTTAAAGCATTGAAGAAAAATACTTGCTCCTCTTCTTTCCCAGCCCTTCCAAGCACACATACTTCCTTCCCACATAGTATCAATTAAAATACCTGTTTTAAGGTTGAAGGTTTGGTTTGTTATGTTTACAATGGCATCTCCCTCCTCCTTGGTAATATCACCTTCTGCCACCCGGAACACAATGGAGCCAATTGTCATTTCAGGCTCATTGTGTGCTGAGGCTGAAGAAATAGCAGAAAAAGCTGCAGGGAAAGAAATACAGACCCTGAGCAGAAGGAAGTGATGATGTAAAAGATAAGGGACTTTTTCTTGGTTACAACACCTACAGAGATCACAGTCTGGGTACAGACTCAGCCTGTGAAAAGGACTGCCTGCCATACAAACTGAAAATCATTCCTTCTCACAGGAGTCTGTACTCAACCTGCACTCATTTTCATCATTTCTGTCATGGCAGGATGGCAGGGAAAATGTATTTTGCTGCACATCTGCTATGCAGACACTACTTAGTGACATTTTATTATTGCAAAACTCAAATGTGAGAGAGAAACAAACTCTAAGTTTCACTCTTTTGCTCCTGTGTCTCACAGAGTTCCAGGCAGGCTCTCTATTTCTTGAAAAGGTGGAACTTTTTATCCATATGTTATTTGTAAAATCATAATTAAGTTTTCAACATGCAACTCATTTTTCTACAGGCTGCAGTTCCATTAAGATGGATAATACCCAAGACTTTTCAGTTTGGTTTTTCTATTCATCTGAATACATAAAAAAATTTAAGAGTATTTCAAAGAGAGCACTTTAACACACATAACCACTATCTCACCTGCCTTCCCAGGATAGAGAAAGACTTGTTCACAGCTTAATCTACTGCTGCAGCAATAAAAGTAAAAGCACTGCTTATGCCCTTGAGACCTTATAGCTTCTGCTGTTCCAGTTTGCAGGGGCACTACCCAGATAAGGAATCACAGGAACACTTGTTTTCTTAGCATCTCTATCACTATTTCAGACATAACAGACACTCTGCCTGAAAATATTGTCTTTACAGCAGCCACTCAGACTTTGGGAATGACATGCTCACCAAGCAAGTACCTAAATATCCATAATGAATGCATTCCCTAGAATACTTGAAAAAAATAAAAAAAAAAGCAGTAGGCACAAAGCTTCTGTGAATAAACCTTACCTGTGCTTTGGCTAGCGTCATTTGGAGAAGGCTTCTGCACTTTAACAGCTACAGACCTGTTTTCAAATTCATCTGAAAATTCCTAGAGAATGAAATCACAATCAACCCCTGTAGAAGTCTTTACACAGTCAAAATATAGGTTTGAAAAGCAAAGCTAAAAACATTTAGAAAGAGCTAAATGCAAACTACTTAACGTCATCTGCCACAATGCTGATGGCAAGTCCTGACAGATGTTGTTCTCAGAGAGCAAGGCTGTTCAGTGTGAGCAACACACAGAATCAAAAATGCCTGAGTTAAAGCCCCAGTTACCATTCCACAGGGATACAGCAGCAGAAGGCATCCTTACAGTGAGTGAGTACTTCACACTAGCTCAGCTCTTACAGGTAATGCCACCCTTCTCTATGCACAACGGTTCAGGCTTTGATGCAGCAGCCTTCAAGTTTAGCCTTTCAAAATGTATTAGCTCTTGCACAAAGTACAGAAGGCAACAGATGTAGAAACACTTATCTGGACATGAATTCACAGTGTGATGGCTCTCCTTTGGAGTGAAATGAGTAACCTGAGTGTGGATATAGAAAATTTATGCTAATGGGACACTGAAGAGAGGGAGATGGAGAATACTTGTGTGTTTCTACTGAAGAAGTTTACCAGCACAACAATCCTAGCACAATGATTCCTCCTAAAAGGACACCAGCACTCCATTTAAAAGCACAGCTTTTTTCCAAGGTTGCAGGCACTGAAGCGGGAGTTACAGCAAACTTGTCTGACCTACAGACTGAAGAATTAGGTGAGTTCATGAGATAAAGAGTAATTACACTTTTGTATGCATTATTCCCAGGAAACAGAAAAGGACAGGAAGGGAGCAGGACTGTACTTGGTATGTGGGTGACCAAGGGAGGTAGAATGAAAAAGAGAACATTCAGTATAGATGAAAGTCAGCAAACCTTTTCTTTAGTTTAAGAACAAGCACCTTGCAGAGTCTTTGAAGATCATCAGATAGCCAAGTATCATGAGACAGACTCAGATACACCATACTGTAATACAGGAAACCACAGTAACTCACCTGAATATTAGCTGTGTCTTTTGTGTGCAACAGAAAGTAAACTTCTTCAAGAGAATTGACTCTGTTTTTACCACTGAATTCAAACACTTTGTCAAACAACAATTTAGCAACAACAGATCTTGGAAATTCTAAATTCCCTGTACCAATTGCTGGGAAAGTGATTGATTTCAAAGACAGTTCTTCAGCAATCTCCAGGCATTTTGTGATTATGTCACCCAAGACCTGTAAAGCACAATTATTTTTTCAGTTACTGGAGGTTTTTACAGTATGTGTAATAAAACATTTTCCCTTTCAGCTATCTTGGTATTAAAATATAATTAATTCCATACACAAGGAATTCACATGGAATTTATAAGTCAACAAGGGATTGGCCCACAGTTAAAAAAGGATGAGTCAAACTCTCTCATCTTCTCTGACACTGTCCCCCATTTCAAAGGAAAATGGCATTAAACACACTATAAATCCCACAAAAATTTAGGCAAATAAAAATCCTTTTACCTTTGAAGGACTGTTTTTCTGGGACCACATAGGTACCACAGCATGAAGCACAACACTGCAAGCCAGATTGTAACCTTTAGTTTTCAACACAGATCCTTCCTCAGGTGTTCTTCCTCCACCTTCTTTTTTTAATTCTGTCTGAAGCATTGGCCCTGCCTTGCTTAGCAAAGCTTTACCAAGAGGCCCTTTGTCAAGCTGGAGATCTTTGCCAACACTGACAACAACAATGGATGTCTGAAAAACACACAAGCAAAAACTCTAGCTTGTAAGTATCAAATTTAAATTTTGCATTGGATAATCAAATACAGTCTGCCTGATAGTTTACAAGGTAAACTTTTCAGACAGCAACCAGAGCAAACAACGTTTTGGAATTAACCAGCAATTATGCTCAATTCTAATACCATGAGCCTGCCCAAAGAAACACAAAACTGAGTAAACAATGACATTAATTTCAGCCTAATGGGAGAAATATAACAATTCCGCATTCCTCATTTATTCGTTCTACCTCCATTTGAAAAACATTTGTGCAAGTTTGTTCTCAAATGAGAGAGACTTGCAGACCAAAATCTGAGTTCACTGAGGTAGGCAGGGCCTCCCATGGCTGGTTTAGGGGGACAAGCAGATGCTGAAGACAACAGGACTGGGGATAATCTAAGGAGAAAGAAGTGAGAAAAGCAGTAACTTTTGAATGAGAGAAATACAAAGGGCACTGAAGATTGTGTAAAACCCTGTATTTAGCTCCTCAGGAAGAGCCCCTATATACATTTTAACATATATTCTGCCCTGGCCAACTGGAGGAGCTGCATGCACAAGATGTGGGAAGCATCCACTCCTCAGAGGTTCTGCAGACCATTACAGGAAGGGTCCTGGATGCAGCTGCTTCCAGTATTGGTGATCCCAGTAACAGAATCCCAGCTAACAGAAATTCAGTGCAGGAGACAACTGGGAATCAATTAATGTCACTGGTTCTCCACAGGAAGTGCAATACCAGCTGCACTGGTATGTTTCATGCTGGTGCTCACCCATGATATTGGTATCGTGTTGGTTAGTTTTTAAAACAGACACAGAAGAACCCATTTGATATTTCAATATGAGATAATTTAGAACACTTACTGTAGCATCTTCAATGCTTCCTGTTTGCAGCATGATGTTAAGGCCTTCCTGAGTTGTTATGAAAGGGAAGTTCTTAATATGCTGAAAAGCTTTCCTCTGCCTAGGTTGAGGAACTGTACTGATATGATGCAGTGACTTGTAGAAAGGTGAAGAATCTGAAAACACTTGTCTAAATGCCTTGCTGAAAGCCTCAATGTTATCCTGTGCAAAACCCACAAGATGAACCTCCTTCAAGCTGCTGTTCCCCTTGGATTGTTCCAAGGTCTCCTTGATGGAGGATACAATCAAATAAGTACACAGTTTCAGTGGGAAGCCAAAAATCCCTCCACTTATAGCAGGCAGAGCAATGGAACGATGCTTGTGTGTTTCAGCTACTTTTAAACAATTTTTCACTGTCTTCCTCAACAAGTTCATGCACATTTCTGATTTCTCCTTGCTCCACCTGGGCCCAACAGCGTGAATGACGTTCTTGCAGGGCAGTTTCCCGGCACGTGTGATCACTGCGTCACCAGGGTGCAAATTCCCGAGCTTCCTCACCAGCTCATCGCATTCCTCTTGCAGTGCTGGGCCAGCTGCTCTTGACAGGGCGTCAGCAAGGCCACCAATGTGTTTTAGGTCTTCATTAGATGCGTTCACCACAACATCAACAGGGTGAGTGCACAAGTCACCTTTATAAAGTGCTATTACAGTTTCACCCATGGTCACCTGCATATAGAGCTTGCCTCTGCTACTACGTTCTTTCTGTCCTTCCAGCTGCTCTTCTGGCTGCTCTTCCAGTAGGACTAAACACTTGAACACATGTTTTACATGGGGGGCCAAAAGGTGTGCTTGCTCTTTTATATATGCCTTAGCTCCTGGCAAGTCAATTACCATACGCTTAAAATGCAGGCCAGACAGAATTCCCTCAACTAAGCTGACTCCCTCCAACACTTTCGTCTTCGGCCCACTCAAGGATATAACTCCACAGTTTTTCTGCGTGCTAAAGTCAACTTTCACGCATTTTTTTTCTAAGGCAGCCCAGTCATCGACCTTCTCTTTCTCAAAAAACTTCATGACTGCCATCGGTTTTCCTTCAATGACCCTTTGCACCTGCGTGTTTTCATCTATAAAGTTGGAAAGTTCCTCAAAGGCTTTTGCTACTGCTTCAGAAAAACCAGTAATCATGATCTGAGTCTCTGCCTGAGTGATTGCTACATTACAGCAGTTTTCCTTGGCTAGCATCTGCCATTCCTCCTTCAGGAGGACTGACTCATCCTCCAAAGTAATACTTTTGTGGTCCAGTTCTTTCTTTATTTCTTCCTCTGCTTTTAGAAGATCTTCAGGAGCACTCCCTTTCAGGATGATCTCTCCTACACCAAGCTCATAAAAGGCACAAATTTGTTTTGATATAAACAGGCTCTGTGACAGAGTTTCATTATCAATATGCTCTAAAAACTGAAAAATGTAAGGGTGGATATTAACTGTTTTCTTTACCATTTTGTGTACATAATCAAGAATTTCTCCTTTTACTTTATAAACTTCCTCAGGCAGTCCAGATAGGTTAATGCTCTTCTGAAAATAATCATACGTTATTTTCAAGTCTGGGAACTCTGTACGAAATTTTTCTTCAAGACCAGTTACCTGTAAAATTCCATATTCCCCTGGACTCACTGTCTCGACTTTCAGTTCAGTTCTTTGTTTTTTTCTTTCAATTTCTCTGGTGGCCTTTTCAATCAGAAGCTTCAGCTCCTGTTCAACCTCCTTCACAACTTCTTTTTCCCCTACTAGAACATGTAAATCCTTGGAAATATGTGGAATCATCAGAACTTCATCATGGGGAAAGTTGTTACTAATGGCTTCCCACACCTCTGTGCTTACTTGACAAGGAAGTGCTTTGTATTTTGATATGCTGTGTGAAAATGCTGTGGAAACTTTTTCTTTCCATGCCTTGGCCAATTGAGATACTGATCTCTTTCGCTCTGAAAAAATAGCTGAAGGATGCAAAGTAATTTTTGGATCTGCACAGGGAGCATCAGGCCACATTGGCACACAATTACACTTTGCCATTTCATGATCTATTGCCTCAATTAAGCTACTATTTCCTTGCAAATAATTCCAGATATAGGGATCCAGAGGCAAGGTAATTGGATCTGGCTTCTTTATCTGTGGCCCTTCCTTTCCATATAGAGCCGTTTCCAGTGAGGTGTAGTAAGGATAGACAAAGATTGGTGTTTTGTTGAGTGAGTGCTTCTTTGCCAGGATATTTGCTACATCTAAAAGAAACAAACAGTCCCTGAAGTTATTAATGTCAGCACTTAAGATCTCTTTTGTTTTGATTTTTTTCATTGTTTGGGGGTTTTAAAACTGTATTTTCTATATAATAATGTTAGTTATTTTTAAGAACATTTTTAGATTACTTTCCTCCCCTTCCCAGACAGAAATAATTCCAGATTTTTGAAGACTTATTTTAAATCCCAGAAGCTAAGCTGAAGAGAGACGGTCAAGCACAACAGCATCCACCTCTGGGAGGAGGTGTGCATAATCTCGGCCTCTACTCCTCTTATATGCTATATTTGAAGTGCCCAGCTCCACAGTTGTTTGGGCTATTACTCAGCAGTTCAAACCACAGCTCCTCTGTTTTCCCCCAAAAGACCATCTCTTTCCTTCAACCCCCCTTCATTTCTCTCCTTCACTTCTCCCTTGCCCTACACTTCTCACAGTCACTCATCTTTCTGCCACTGAGTGGACAACCCATAGCACCTGCTCTGGGCCAAAAAGCTGCCCAAGAAATTGTCCTGAGATGTGCCAGATGGGACATGTTGCCATGGGCAGCTGGTGGTCAGCATGGTAGATGGAGGAAGTCCCCTGTGCCTGCAGAGCTGTGCACTCTCCACAGAACTCAAACTGCAACCTGAACTCTGTAAGGATCAAGGCCTGGATGAAATAAACTGTCTAGAAAATGAAAAAAAAATTATGCCTTATGCCCAGCTGGTCCAAAACTGAAGCCTGCACTCCAGTTAGCACGAGACCTGTGAGCAAAGCACCAGACCTGCCGTTTTACAAGGGCAAAGGACGCATTTCTCTAGAAAATCCATGTTTTGGTCTTTAAGTGATAGGTTCTCAAAGAAATAAGGGCTCTGCATTTCTGCATTACCTTTTTGGTTACCAAATGTAATGATAGCTGCTTCTTCATCAGGCAGCTGTTGAACATCCACCCTTTGTGCACCTCCGTATTTCTCATTTTCAAAGTAGACGGTTATATAGTCACTGGGGGTGTTGGATGGTATATTTTCAGCCCGAACACATTTTGTTTGCTCAAGGCACCGTGCAGTGATGTTTTGTTTCCTTGCTCTGTGGTTTTGATTAATCTTTTCAGCAAATTCCTCTGCATCTAGAAAGATAAAGGAGAAGAAAAAAGATCAAACTCAGAGCTTGTTTTTCTACCATGATGTTAGCAGACTATCACTGTGTGCACTATCAAAGCAATGAACTGCAAAATCAGCTCAGAGCTGCCCACAAAGCTACTTCTTTCCCCATATTCAGTATCTGTCACTTAATATTCCCCTCATGGCTGATCACAACTGTTGACTACAATGACCGCAGCCAGAATTTGCAACTAGTTTTGCTACTGACTGTCACTGGGTTTCTTTAACCCCAGCAGAAAACAAGATCAGGTTCATTTTTGGGTTATGGCTTTGTACACAACTAATAAGACACAAGTTAACGGTTCAAATTCTCTCCATTTTATGATAAATACATTGTCATTTTGGCTATTTCCCTCCTGTTATCCTCACAGTAAAAGACAGTCACTTTTCCATCTGTCAAGCAAAAATAATTAAATTTCTTAAAGATCTACTTATTTCCTAAAGGCTACACCAAAAATTTAGGACTGGAGCATGACTTGAGAGAAAAATAATTTCTAAGGCAGAAAAACCTACACCTTCTCTGAAAGGCAGCTTTTTGCAATGACAGCTTTTACCATTGATCTGCTCTCAGACCAAGTACATCCTTCATTGCTTGTTTTAAGTTACAGTTTGGTTTTAGTCCTATCTGCTATGTTTACTATCCAAGCCAGAGCTAGCTCTAACTTGCACTGGCCTATATACCTCACAGATAAATGTTATGGCATTAACTTTAGGAGAGTAAATCCTCCTTTAAAAGGACACAATATCATCAAACCTTAAGAATATGAAAGAAAATACTTCCAGCTTAATCTCACTCACATGCATGCACAAAAACATGTAGCTAATAAGAAAGAGCTTCAACTCTTGACTCCTTCTTACCAATATTTCTAGTAAAAGTAACTACAGCAGCACATAACTCAGGTATCATTTCCACACTGAAGTCACCGTCATCCTCTGATAATCCGCTCACATTCTCTACCAGCAAAATTAACATGCAATCTGTTGTTGTCTCCTTCACATTTTCCAGCACAACTGCGGTGGGAAGCAGGGAGCCTTCAGAGTTCTCCACTTGGCATGACTCCTGGGAAGTCTCCATTTGCCACGGCTTCACAACCAGATCAATTTTACCCAAGAGATGTTTTCTTTGCAAAACTTCTTGGGCATCTAGTCCCACAGAAAAACAGAGATGTCACAGCAGAGTAGTGTGTTAAACAATAGCAATAATACACCATTTCTGCTTGAAGCAATGCCCACAAAGAGATCCTGCACCAGCAAAGGCCTATTTTTAAAAGGGAGCTTAAGCAGTATAACACCCATAACCTACCTTGCTCATCCTGAAAGGTGATGATCACTTGCTGATCTTTTTTGACAAAGGACTTGATGACCCCCCCACCAGACTTCTTTTTATTTTCAAAGTACATTTCCAAAATCTCATCTTCTATTTCCTCCCCAAAGGCAGTAGTTACTACTATAGGAGAATTCCTAGAGGTTGCCTTCTCTGTGTCCAGTTTCTCACATGATTCTGAAATAAAAAATCACATCCTAATGCCTTAGGCAAAAGTTAAGAAAAAACCAAGCTTCCTATCTTCCAAGCTTTCACAACACTTTTTGTTCAGATCATACTTAAGGTCAGGGAAAAAAACAGGGTAAGAATCTGAAACAAGTTAAGCATATCACTAGTGGGAGTTGCCATATCAATACATAGGGAGGAAATGCTTCAGTTCATCACCAGGCAAGGACAGCAGAAATAAAAGATACAAAAGCTTCTTCACAAACACACAATGAGGGGAACTAGGACTGCCCATTCACAGTTCCAGACATTGCTGTGGGTCATCTGGGGTATGTATCTGCTGGCTCCCATGGCTAATCAGGTGTACCTGGGGTACACAGCTCCTGATGCTCTGGCACAGGATTGCCCCATCAAGGCTGGCAGCAGCTGGGAAGGTCTGGGTAGGGGCAGCCTTAGCCAGGACAAAGACCAGCATCCACTGCTGTCCCCTAAGGAACTCACTCACCTGTCTGAGGCAGCCAGTGAAGTGGGGGCTCTAAAGGGACTCACAGAAAGGAAAAAAGTACATTTATTTCTTTTAGTCTGGGATCACAATTCCTACACTACGTTAGACAAACAACACAAGCCACGAGTGTGACCAGGGCACTGCTGCAGGAGAAAAATCCAAAAAACCAAAGAAGCAATACAATGGTCACCACTGGGTAAGTTACACACCTGTCTTCTCCCGCTGAGTAAACACAGGAGTTTTCTTATTCTGGAGGATGGGAAAGAGACACCTGGGATTCATTAACTAGAGATAAATGACAATGGTTTCTCAGTTGCTGGGTACTTGAATTAAGTTTCATTTAACACTGTCAGAATCATAGCTTTCCATCGATTCCTCTTTTTAAACTATATGTTGAATTGATTACAGAAACACTCTGAGCTCAAGAAGCCTTGGGCATAATGTCAGAACACAGTCATGCTGCATAAACCAGCATGAGCAGTCCTGCCATGGTCCTGCCATGGTCCTACCATGATCCTACCTGGTCCTGCCAGGCACTACAGCACTTTCCTCACACAAAAGCTGCACTAAACATAAATAGTGATGAGGACATCTGTGTTTAGGAGGAAAGCACCTTTGTAAACTGGGACCTCTGGAAGAGCCTCTGTCAGGATGTGTTTGACTCAGCATGACTGCTCAACTTCCTAGTTTAGAACAAGAGGAAATGCAGCTACATTAGAAAACAAAAGACTTGGTCAGATTGAACAAACTGCTTTTCCAGCCTGTGCCCTCAGCCCTCACCTGCACAATCACCCCACTATGCACAAGCAGGTACTTTGAAGCAGAGCTCAGTGAGCTGCATGTGTATTAGCCATGTATATATGGTTGCTGATATGTACTATTGGTATCAATATATGATACTGTATATGTACTGATAGCTACATATTGATTAGCTGTGTATGTGTATGTATTGATTAGCCCTATGTGTGTGTATTGATTAGTTGTGTGTGTATGTATGTGTGTGCGCATGTGTGTGTGTGTGTATTAGCCGTGATAGCGTGGTCGGTCTGTCCGGTGCCTGGGATGTGGCTCGGGGGCTGTACCTTAGGAATTACATCATGTTTGGGATTCGGGAAGTTAAGGGGAGAGCTGGGAGGAGAATCAAAGCCCTGCAGCGCCGTTCAGCCGGCCCGGGCATCCCCCATCCCCGCTCCTCCGCAGGCCGGTGCCTCGCCAGCCCCGGAGACCCCGCGGCTCCTGCCGCANTGTATATATATATATATATATATATATATATATATATATATATATATATATATATATGAGATTAAAGCTACAAGAAATACATGTTATTTATTTATGACTCGTTTGGCCAAGTGATTGGAAATTCTTATATCCTTTGAGCAGGACAAACTACTATGTCTCCTGACAGAACACCCTCTTTGTTTTGGTAAGACTGGACACACTGAAAGTTCAGCATGGCCTCAACAAAATAAATTCTTCCCTAAGAATTTTACAATGACATTTACGAATGCAAGTCCATTAGGAGGAAAAAAAATGCCCCATGCCCTGATGATATTTCTTCTGTTTCCTGATACACATAAAACCACTTAAGAGTATTTACATTCTGTCCCACCCCTACACAACTTACTTGGCTGTGCTGCTGCAGCACTGCAACTTCCACCTGCCCTAAGTTCTAGCTCAGTGGTAAAAGCCTAAGAAGAGAAAAAAAGTAGGCAAGATAGTATTTCACAGTATATACACTGAATGTTTTTGTAAACAACATTAACAATCATGCAGCTCTCACTGAGGCACCTCACACATTTTATAGTCTTATTTAAGTGTTATTAACAGCAGAAGACCCAGTGTGGACAGTGTGACGAGAGATAGCTCTGGATTGCTAGAACTCCTCTGTCAGAAAATGAGGGAGCATCTACAGACATTTACAGAGCCAACAGCAAGGCATATTTTGTCTGCAGCTTCTGCTTGTTGAGAGTTTGTATTTCAGAGACACTGGAAAGACATCCCAATGTCACTGGTCGACAGCAGTAAGGAAGTGCTAAATTATCACCCCTTAGAAAGCAGTATAAGTAAAACAGATTATTAATGTGTAACTAGAGCAGTATGTTACAAATACAGCTTTGTCCTGATAAGAATTACCTGAATGTTATCAGTATCTTGTGGATTCAAGAAAAAATGAACTTCCTGGAGATTCTTCCGAGTGTGACTACTACTGAACCTGAATACCACATCAAACATTAACTTAGAAACAATGATTTTAGGAAATCCAAATCCTCCAGTCCCAATAGCTGGGAAAGCGATCGATTTCAGTCCAAGTTCTTCAGTTTTCTTCAAGCACAAATCAATTACATCTTCTAGAACCTGTAAAACACAGCAAAGGTACTTTTTTTTTCCTGAAGACATCGTTTTTTATTAGTTCCAAAGAAAATGGTATGACAAGCAGCTCCGAGTACATCAAGACATCCTTAAGGTCACTCCAACAGAAGAAAATGGAGTCAAGTAATCTAAATTAACTATGTTTAAACCTGAAATTTCAGGACAGATCCCAAATAAATATGTAGCTGGGTGGTTAATAATTAAAATATACCTTCTCTGTCTGTCCTCCATTCCACTTGGGTAGTATGACATGAAAGATGGACTTGCAGGCCATAGCACATCCACTGGTGCAGAGCACACTCCCAGCACCAGCAACCTGATTTTGTTTTTCCGTGTCAAACTCATCTTGAAGAGCTGGTCCAGCCTTTTCCAGCAGGGCTTTGCAAAGAGGCCCCACACCAAACTGCAGATCTGTGCCAACACTGTTGACCAGAACATCCGTCTGCAATAAGATTGCAATGAAAATAGCTACAACCAGAATTCAAGCAAAAATATGCACTGAGATTAAAACACACCGCAAAAAACTCCAAGATGCCAGTGGATACCCAAACCAGCAGCACAAACAGGTACCTATTTCCCCTAATATCCAACCAAGATAGCTACTTTTACAAAATACTTTAGTATTTCCACTTTAGGAAAAAAAATGCAAACTCTTTTACAAGTTGCTCTCAGATCTGGAAAGCTAACAAGATCTAGCTGGGAATTAAAACATCCAGAAATTCACAGCTGCCCTCTAGAAATGGCTGCAATGACAGATCTCAACCTACACTCAAGTTTTGCAAGCTTGCATCCTTGTTTAGCTAGCACACAGTTGTTCTTTCCTTATGTAGCAAGTGCTTGTGAAACCTACTGTCCTTCCTTTTTCATTCAAACTTACCATCAAGTTCAAAAGGAGTCAGAAAAGTAAAGACTTACCATGGCTTTCTGAATATTTTTCTTCTCCACTCGGATGCAAAGCCCTTCATTTGTTGTAACCATCTTCAGATCCCCTTTTCTATTCTCCTTCTGGCTTTTTTTCAGCATCGGCTGTTTTGTGGAGAATGTATTAGCTGAAAATACTTTTTTTACTGTCTCACTCAGAGTGTGAACTGTTTCTTCTGAATTACAAACAAGATGGACCTCCTTCAAGTTGCTGTCCTCCATGAATTCTTCCAAGATCTCCTTGATGGAGGACACAATAAAAACTGCATACATCTGTGGTGGAAAGCCATAAATCCCTCCACTTATAACAGGCAGAGCAATGGAACAATGATTGTATATTTCAGCTAGTTGTAGGCATTTTTTCACTGTCTTTTTTAACAACAACATGCACCTTTGTGATTCCTTCACATCCCACCTGGGCCCAACAGCGTGAATGACATTCTTGCAGGGCAGTTTCCCGGCACGTGTGATCACTGCGCAGCCGGGATGCAAATTCTTGAGCTTCCTCATCAGCTCATCACACTCCTGCTGCAGTGCTGGGCCAGCTGCTCTTGACAGGGCTTCAGCAAGGCCACCAATGTGTTTTAGTTTTTCATTAGATGCATTCACTACAACATCAACAGGGTAGTCACACAAGTCACCTTTATACACTCCTACCACAATTCCTCCTGGCAGCTTTTTTTCATAGTAGACCTTTCTTTCCACTTTATCACCAGTTTTTCTGCCCTTCCGTTCTTCTTCTTCTTCTTCCTTCATCCTAATGAAACAGCTGAATTTCTGCTTTGCTTCTGAAGTACAAAAATCTTTCCTCTCAGTGAAGACCTCCTTTGTGCCTGGTTTATCAATTAGCACATTTTTTGAGTAAAGGGAGGAGACCATTTTTTCCAACATGATGAATGCTTCTGGCACTTCTTCTCTTGGTCCCCTCAGGGAAATACATGGTGTCTTGGTGTCAAAACGTACTGTCACACCTTTCTTCTTCAATTCTCCACAAACACCAGACTTCACATTCTCTACAAACTGCACTATCACCACTGAATTAACTGGGATTACTTTTTCAATGGGTGTGTTTCTATCTATAAAATCATTAAGTCTCTGATAGACCTCTGTTACAGCCTTAGAAAAGCCAGCAATAATCATTTTATTTTCTTTTCCAACAGACTGCCAAGAGATGACAACTTCCTGGGAAGAACTATATGTGTTCAGAGAGGAGAAAAGAAGACTCTTCCACTCATCCTTTTTAAAGACTTCACCATCCCCCACACTGATGTACTTGTATTCTAAACCTGTTTTTATTTGCTTTTCCGCTTCTAGAAGATCTTTGGGAGCATCTCCATACAGCAACACAGTATCATCCTGAAGTTCATAAAAAGTATTAATATTTTCCTTAATGAACAACACATCTGACGTATGTTTATTATCTACAGACCGGAGATAGTGGAAAACATGGGGGTCAATGGTAACTGATGTACATGGCATACTCAATACCTTTTCCAATAAGTCAGCTTTGATTTTATACACTTCTGCAGGTAATCCACACAACTGAACAGTCTTTTTTTTGTCATCGTAAAAGACCTTCAGGCATGGATATTCCTTCTGTATATTCTCTTCTAACCCAGCATTGTGCAGCACAGCATACTTCCCTGGGATCACTGACACAGAAATTTCTATGCTCTGTTTTTCCCTTTCACTTTGCTTCATGCATTCCCTCACTTCTTTCTCTGCACTGTCCACTGCTGCTCTGCTGCCTGCAATCACCACCATCTCCTCAGAAATATCAGTTATGATCAGACCACCATCTTCTGACAGTCTTTTTTTCACATCTTCCCAACCTGATGAATTGACTTCACATTTTATAGATATGTAACGTGACATGATACGTGAGAACTCAGTGGAAGCATCTTGCTGCCATGTCTTGAGCAACTTAATCATTGGCTTTTTCTGCGTGCAGAGAGATGGGGATGGGCACAACATAACTTCTGGGTTTGCACAGTCTGCTTGGGGCCATATGAGCTCAGAATGGCAAACTGCCATTTCCTGGTTTATGTTTTGGGTCAGATCGGCATGCTTTTGTAAAAACTGCCATACATATGGGTCTAGTGGCACCTCAATGGGATCTGGCATCTTGACAGCTGGTCTTTCTTCTCCATAGAGGGCTGTTCCCAGGGAGTGGTAATATGGATGCACAGAAATCCGCGTCTGTTCCAGTAAATGTCGCTTTTCCAAGACCGTGGTGAGATCTAAAAGTTAGTGCACATACATACAAACAAGCATTTATCATTAACTTCAAATCAGGCAAATGTCTCTATTCTTAGAGATTACACTGATTTTCCTTTTCTTTTTCTTTCCTTTCAAAGAGCTGTTTTTATGTCTTTCTGATTTCCAAACTACTCTGTAGGGGACAAGATAAAAGGCTTGGTTCCAACTTGTTTGGTAAATATGCTCATGTCTGCATTCCCATGCAGAGCTACACCCTGCTTGTTTCCCAAGGAAACTCCTCCACAGAGCAGGGCCTTACCCTCAAATATAATCCTCAAAAAACTCTTAATGTCAGTGCAGTTTTACTTTTTTTCTTGCCATTTTTGTTGGAATGGACTAATCAAAGAAAGGCTAATGTTTGCAGGAACTTAAAACTCCATTACAATGATACAAATTCCATTTTAACTTAAAGTACAAAATATTCTTCAGAAAATCCTGAGAGTCATAAGAAAACCACCTGGCAGATAAGCCTTTTTCTCTAAATTTACTAAGCCAGGAGTCTCCTAACAAGTATTTACCAGAAGTTGCACTGGCACAAAAACTGGACAGTGATTCGAGGAATGCAAGAAATAGTAACAAGTTTGTTCTTCCCTGATAATGAAGATATTGAAATGAGGATATTTGACCTTATTTAGTTTCTGAAAGTTAACTGTGCAATCTGAAGTCATTGACAGATTCTGCTCTGTCCCTCTACCTGTAAATACAGTTAATTTCCTATTCCATATAAAAACCTCTGCAAATGGAGAAAAAACACCAGTGAGAAAAATCAATGCACAAGGCAGGTTAATACATCTCAGTAACAAAATACATCTCTAGTAACAAAAAACAAAGCAAACAAACAAAAAAACCCAACAGATACTGAAGCCCTAGACATGCAGCAGTATTTCTCCATTTAGAGCACTTCTTAGGAACAGAACACCATACACTGACTTCAGCAACAGAAAGCCAGGCTTCTCCTAATGCCCATATTTGCAGTAATTTTCTTGCAGGCCATCTGCCTGTGAGTACCTTGGTCAGGCAAAGGACAGTGTTACCTTTGTGGTCACAGAAAGTAATGATGGCCGAGTTCTCCTCGGGGAAGAGCCGGACATCTGACACGGGTGCCCCTCCATTCCGTGAGCTCTCAAAGTACACCGTGAGGTAATCTATGGAAATGTTGTCTGGTAGGTTTTCAACCTTGATGGTCTGTGTTGGCTCAAGGAGCCTGGCAGTGATTTGGAATTCTCTGACTCTTTTGTGTTGTGAACATTTTTCGATAAATTCCTTAGTATCTGTAAACGGAAGAGCAGTATGAAATGCCTGTTTTCCTGTGTCATTATCAGCTTGGTTATTGCTTCAGGCAGAGAAATGAGCAGAGTTACTCCCTGTATTTGGAACAAAACTGTCTCTGGTGCCAAATAACTCTGCACTGTAATAAAAAAGGGGAAGAGTGCACAAGAATGCTACTCTCTGCTATTCACCCCCACTATGTCTCTGTTCCCATCTCATAAGTACACTGTCTTCTCTAAAGGAGATTTTACATAATCGCCACACTCAGTACACTTTTAATTCTTCTTCATCTAATCCAAAATAAGATAGAAAGAGCAAAACATTATTATCCAATTTCAATTAAGATGCCACAATTTTCTTTTTTCAGTGTAACATTTGGATCACAGGCACTTTTGTGGGGCTGTATATAAGACATTTTTCTTGAGAGACTGCAATCCAGGTACTTTTTAAGAACAGTCTGGATCTGCAGTGGGAGAGGAGTCAAGATCTGAAAGCTATTACTCATGCTTATACATGGAAATTAATAATGGTGTCATCTTGTCTTACCAATGCTTTTTATAAAGGTAGCAACAGCAGCATTTATTTCAGGTATCAGTTCAACAGTAAAGTCAGCATCTACAGTCAGGCCACTGATGTTCTCCAACAGCATCTGTAAGCAGTTTGGACTGCATTTCTCTATGTTCTCAAATACCACCAAAGGTGAGTCTTCTCCAGAGCCAATCTCCTCCTGGAGTTCACTGTTTGAAGCAACACTCACTGCTTTCTTCAAGCCTTGTGTATCATCTGCAGCAGAAAGATAAGCCACATAAAATGTTGGTCCACATTTCCTGGAATAAACGGATTCTTCTTACCCTTTCTCTCCTTTTCCTTCCCAAGAGATAAATACCAAACAAATACTGCAGGGTACCACTGAACTTTTTGAGAACTAAAACAGCCCAGGTGCAATATTCTGCAGGGCTGCAGGCAGCTTCTTTGGTGGCACAAAACCAGACCGGAGTAAACATGTCCAAGGTCACTGGTATGTCTCTGAGTCAGAAGCTAAACTGAACTAAAATCCATTGAGATAACAGGCCACAACTGTTCAGATGTTGGTAAGGGTTGTGAGAGACCTTGCAGCCTCTGCATCTGTTTCTTAGCCCACAATGCAGGCAAAACAAGACTGAACATAGCTCAGGACATCCACAGGCACCATAGGTGACAGTAGTTTTGTGTGATTTGATGTAAAGCCTCCTGATGACCCCTGTGCCCTGCCATCAGTGCAGCATGACAGTGCTGGAGGGCCCATGCACACAAAGGGCTCACAGGGATGCAACAACATTTTGCAAACAGAAAATATAACAGAGGTGCCCACTGAGTATCCCAGAAGTCCAGTGGCTGCCAGAGGCACGCACATCTCCAGCTTTGCAGACAGATGAGGGCAGAGGTGCAAGAGAATCTCCAGACTGGAATGAGCAACAGGCTGGCTCTGCCTGCTCACCGAGGTACAAAAACTACTGATACCAAACCCATAACATTTCCAGAAGACAGCTACCTTTGAAGGCCTACCACCATAAACAAGAAGAAAACTAAAGAAACAAGAAGCAACAGTTCTTCAGATGCTAGTTACTAATTTCTAAACTACTGGAGGAGTCATCTCCTCCACTCTGAACAATGAAGAAAATACCAAAAAGCCAAAACCGAAAGCCAGGCTGACCCAATTAAGCAATTGAGAGTAGGATCTGAAGATTTTCAAGTTCCTCTCTAGCATAACCAAAAAACAGATGACAACTTGGACAACATGAACCCCTGTGTGGAGAAAAGCCCCAACATTTTTGTTTTATGAAGAATCAGCACACAGTGCTGTTGGATAACATTTTACCTTTTAGTTGAAGGCTGCTCATGGCATCCAAAGCCTAAAATAAAACGAAAGCCAAATGTCAGTGACAGATTAGACACTCTTAGCCACTATTTCAAAACTCTGATTAGGATTACAATTTTTATTCACCTTTGTGAGACCTGATTTCTCTTCACGTGTCTCCTCTTTAGTAGCTAGTGCCGCTTCAGGCTCTGTGACAATCAACCTCAATTTTTCTTCTCCTCCCAAATGCAACTGATGAGACTGTTTCTCAAGAACTCGTTGCTTGACTAAATAAAACCATAAAAAAGCCCTGTGAAAATCTGAACGGAAACACAGCTTTACATTACATGGCACATGACACTGTCGCGGTTTAGGAACGGTGTTCTGCAATTTGTTTCCCACCCAAACACGCCAGACCTCGCCGCTCGCTTCCCTTCCCCCTCCATCCCCCTCCTCCCTCCGCGGCAGGATGGAGAAGAGAACTGAAGGCACAAAATTAAGGATCACAGGACGAGATGAGAACAATAGTCTACAAACAGCAATGAAATAAGAAAAACGGGCTGGAACAACACCAATACCGATAACAGAGTGTACAAGACAGGTGAAGGCGCCGCCGCTCAGCCGAGCCTGCTGAGAAACTCCGGCCCCTTCCGAGCCCGCAGCCTGTGGCTACAGTGGGATGGAACAGCCCAGGGAGCTGCCTGGGTCCCTCCCGGCTCCTGGAAAAGTTAACCTCGCCTTGGCCGGAACAACGATGTACAGATACACTGTCCCGCAAAATGAGAGCTTTAAACTCCTAACACCGACGCAGTATGTGCAAGGCTTTCTTTCTTAAAAAACAAACAGGAAGAGCAGCAGAGAACAGCCAGAGATGCAAAACTTGGCTCTATCATGGGTTTCATGGTGGTACCCGGAGAGTCCCGGTACCGGCCCCCCACGCCTTGAACATCCTCTTCCACAAAGCGCCGAAATGGCTTGGGGCTGTATGTCCTGAACTTACCGGAAGGGAGAGCCAGCACCTGGGAAGCATGTTAAGGCAAGAAAAGGAAAAATTGTATATAGGTATGGGTAGCGGTATCTGTGCGCTTCTGCACATACGTGCATGGGCACGTATACATTAAACTCAACTGCAGCTAAATCCTTTCCAGCTTGCTGCAAATTTATAAAAATATGTGCATGTTGCAGATATATATTTTTTATATATATCTGTAACTAATCTAATTGTTAGATTAACATAAGATTTATTATTCCGAGTGCAGTTTAGAGAAAACTACTGTGCATCAAAATGAGTATGTATGTATACATTCCTCCTAGGATATATTTATTCGCTTACAGCCTTTATGCCAAACACAATCCAGAAACTAGTAGTAAGCACCAAATCTAAGCATATATATAAGTAAATGCCATATTCTGAGTTAGAAGGGACCCACAAATATCATCGAGTCCAACTTTTGGACCTGCACAGGACACCTGCAAGAATCACACCACGTTTACATACTGTCTATTCTATACTGCAACAGCTAAGCACGTTTCTTTTAACTTGCAGAAAGTTTAGACTTGTAAGTTGCAACCCCAACACCTCCGCAGGGAGCCCACACACCAATCCATGTCCCGGGTCCCCTCGGCCCGGCCCGGCCCGGCCGCTCACCCTCGGGGCAGGCGAAGCAGACGAGGATGTGTCCGGTCCCGGTGTCGGTCCCGACCCGCAGCTCGCACTCGCCGCCGCCCGAGCGCTTCTGGCTCTGGAAGTAGCAGAGCAGCTTCTTCCTGAGCGCGGGCGGCGGCTCGGCGGGGCCCCAGTCCCCTCGCACCAGCAGCGGGAAGGCGCACGGCCGCTGCCCCTCCATGGCTGTCCGACGGCTCCTCTCCCCGCCGCTTTCAGTTTCACTTCCCGGCGGCTTTCCCGAGGTGCCCGGGGCTCCGCCCTGTGCTAGGAATAGGCCTCCCTCCTCCAGGGCCATCGGGACGGCCGGGAGCCCCGGGCCCCGCCGCTCCTCCTCACGGGGGCAGAGAGGCCTCTCAGCGCCCTCGGAGCGCGCCCGGGCTGCTCTGTCCCTTGTGCCTCCACAGAGCCGAACAAGAACCAAGCGTCACAGTGTTTTCAGCCCCTGAACTTATAATGGCTAGCCATTGGCTAACACTCGCTCTCCCTGCCTTACCCTTTCAAATGAAGTCATGATGCAAAGTAAAATTACCATTTTCATCATTCTTTGCCAAACATGCTTCCACAACCGTGGAAGGTTGCAATGAGTGTTTACTTCAGACCAACTTGTCAGCTAGCTGAGAAGTTTTCAGCTGAGTGCTCAGGACTTTCCCTTGCAAAGGTTAGTTTTCAGCTATTTCGTGTTGCGTATTTTACCCTTCTGGCCAAATATGGGACACTAAAATAGCAGGTAAATGAAGTTTTCCCCCCTAACTTCACTGAATGTTCACTGAAGAAATGGATAAATAACCAAATGTCATTAAAGATTTTCAGCAGTCAGCTAAGCCTAGGTATCATCAGACACTGTCAAGTGACCGATGGGGCCGCCTTTGTTTCTTGGTGGGTGACTGATTTATCTGTTACTTCCTAATGCACTGTCCTCCCCACAGCTAGCCCAGGTACATGCTCTCCCATGCTCTGTGAGCAAGCAGATGCAGAGGAGCATGGCTAGTGTCCCAAAGTGACCCAAAGTGTCCAAAGGGATATTCCATCCCATAGAGCATCACACTCAGAAATAGAAACGGGGGGCAGGCAGCTGAGGGGGACGATTGCTTCTCAGTGACAGGCTGGGCATCGGTCAGCAGCTGGTGAACAAATGTACTGTGCATCACTTGTTTCTCCTGGGTTTTATTCTCCCACCTCCCTCTTTCTCATTACAATTATCAGAGTCCAAACTGCCCCAAAACATGGTATTGCAGGGAAGTTCCTAAATTAAAAAAATATATACAGCTATATGTATTGCAAAAAGGAGGAAAAATCTGTACAGAAGAATGCAGAAACACACATAGTATTTTTGTATTTTCTCTATTAGTGTTCAATAGCCTTAGAGAAATGGTTCAACTCACTAAAAATTATGTCTGTGCATGTGACACACCACCACCATAGGCAATTAGCAGGTTATTTAGGCACTGCAGAGTAGCTTAATGATACTATTTAAACCTATATTGGATGCAATTGAAAGAATACAGTTTTACAGTTGAAGAACCGATTTAAAAGTTGTATTTGAGTTTAAGCACAATTGCAGGCACAGAACCAGGAACCCACTATCAGATATGGCCACAGACACTGTTACTTCCTGTTTGCTCCAATGCAGCTCTCAGTACTCAGCACTTCTGCTGAGCTGAAAATACGGTAGTATCCATGCACTCTCTTGTACATGATCCATGGCTAATTTCATGTGCAAAACTCAAATCACTAAGGCCATTTCTACCATGAAAAGAAGCAAAAGTCTATAGCCTTATCACAGCTAACACTCTCATAGCTGCATACAATTTTTTGGTTAGATGGGTTACATGATGCTAGCCATGCTGACAGACATCATAATGCAAAGCTAAGAGAAGTGTTTCATCTAATAAAAGCCAGTAGTAGATCTAAGGGTTTTGGAAATCAAACTGAAGAGGTGCGGGGAAAAGTGTAGATCAGGTTTGCTGGTAAAGCAAGATATACAAAGTGCAAACAGCACTGATACTACACTCACAAGAACCAAATTCTGTAAAGGCTACATATATAGGGAAGTAAATGACTTGTGAAAAGAACATACATTCTTTGATGAGAAAAGATTACTTTTCTTAGCTGTAGAAGTATAAGTGATTTAAGTCTGGCAGTTAAATTAACTTCCCTCAGAGCTTGAATAGTACATTAACTGCTTTATGTTCAGTTATTAGACTTAAGAGTTAAGAATTGATATATTTCCTTATTCAATTCCTTTTGCTTTCAATTCTGATCGAACACGCTGCAGATAAGTAGAATCCGGGTAACCAAACCTAGGAGAAGAAGAGAATTGTTTGGGCTATTTCTGCAATGAAGCACTTGACAATTTCTACAGAACCATCTCATCAAAATATTTTTAGAAATCTCTTTACAAATTTTATGCATTCTTGCCCTAGAGAGAAAACAGACCCATACTGCCAGTCACAGAAGTAATACAGACAGCATAAAGCTACAAACTTAAGGAGCTGCTACATTCTGTTGCTCAAATTGACACTATGAACTTGAAAGCTGCCTGGAGTCTCACTTCAAAATGACAGGGTGTTTGGGTATACATCTTTTTAAAAAAGAAAATCAGACCTGAAGCATATTCAAGTCAGCATTCAAATCAGAAACATAAGCACCAGCACCTCCGGACTTGAAGTAGTGCAGCACCAGAACTGCATACAAAGCAAGTGATAAACAAGAGAGAGAATTTGCACAGAGTGGAGGATAAAGTAAAACTGATACTTTTTGCTCTTTTTGACCCTAACACAGTCAGGAGGATCTAGACACAAGTCTTTAGAGCTTGCAGGACCATCACCTGCCCCTTAGAAGCTGCAACAAGCTTGGAAGGACTGGTCCAAGACTCCCTGTTGTCTCTGCTGCAGGCGGCTCACACTAAGTACTGGTGGTTGCTCCTTTCATTTAAGTGCAGCAAGTCTTCAAGAAATGCTGGATAGAGCTGTCATCTACTCAGAAAATCCTCTGACAGCTTCAATGGCCAAAATGGGGTAACCTTTTTTATGGATAGGGTTGGCACTGTGTCCTGTGCCCTGACCCACTAGGTGCTGCACAACTCATGGTTCCAAGCATCTAGAAGGGCATGACCATATCTGTACTACAATCTCACTTCCTGCTGTTAGCTCTGTTAAGCAGCATTTCAAATCATGTTTTACAGAGTCTGAGTGACATCTTTACCAGGATCATAATGGACCAGCACCTCCTGGTGCAGAGCAGCAGGTAACAGCAGAGGCATAGATCAGGAGTCCAGCCTTAGGTATCATCAAGAGCTTGTTGTCCTGTATATTCTAATCAAAGCAGTTATTAACTAACTTACAGACTCATTGGTGAATGAGTAGCCTGAGAGGCAGTAGAACATTAAGCTCATCCTTGTTCCAACTGTCCAAATAGGTGATTAACATCTGGATCCATAGGGCATTCCACAATCACTCTGTTAGTGACAAAATCTCAAAGCTCTAAATGTGGAAAATATTCAAGGCAGCCTTCCTGACACATCTGAGTAACAACAATATTGCATAAAGAGAAGAGTACTTACTGGGTAGGTCCTCCCTTCATGGCAGTTTTGTGGTGAATATCATTCCATATGATAACACTTTGTTCACCAGTAGTATGTGACTGCCCCACTGTGAAAATCAATTTTTGGTTAAAGGCCCTTCTGAGGAGCTGTAGAATTTCTCGCCCCTCCTCATTGTTAGGTAGATACGCTGTTCGGTGAACTGGCCCATAACGCTGCCCTGGGTTTGGATGGCTGCTCTGTTTTGTAGAAAAACAAAACAAAAACACAGTGTACATCCTAAATCATACAGAAAAATGTAGCATGACTGATATTTGATTCTGAGTTTTTTTCTCTTTAGATACTTTCTTTCATGCAAATTTCATTTGCACTTTTTTGCCATCATTCATGCATCCATTGTTATTTTTAAATTTGTTTTTCCAACTTTTCTCTTGTAAATGCATGGTGCTACACCCATGACTTTTTAGTTTACTCCATTCTCAGTCCTGGACACCAACCCAAGTACATAACATAAGGAGATTTGTCACCTGGAAAGCTCTCACCAAGCCAGCCCACTATTTATTTTTGTCCATTGGCATCCACAGCAAAGAGAATGCTCCAGAAATACTCATTATACTCCCAAAACTTTGTTTATATGATATCACTACATAGATTTCAGTTCAGTTATTCCCAATGTACAAATTAAAGACAGGTATCTCTGTCCTGGTGCATATAAAATAGAGGCTGACCATCTTATCATTTCATTCCTACTGTATTTACTTAATTGCAGCCAAAAATATTGAATTAAATACTTGCAGATTTGTACAAAACAAAAGAGTTTTGTCTGAACATGCATTAAAATAATGGGAAAATAATTAATTTTATATTCAATATTGGTTTTCTTGTGGGAAAAATATCTTTAAGAAATATTTAAGTATACTTACCATTTGAATACCACCCTTCATAGCATAGTCAATTTGAATAGTGTCACAATTGGGATAACCAGGAAGAGAGAAACTGATTGTTTTAGTTGACATTGTTCCCTCTGGTTGGTTTCCTATCAGGACTCCACAGACGGTATTACAAACAGGACAAACTTGTTTGTAAGTCATGGCTTTGTCAATGCAAATTTTGCAAAATGCATGTTTGCACTTTTCTAGTATTTGTTTATTTTCAATTCTGTCCCTGCAAATAGGACATTCATCTTCTTCCTTTTCTTCTGTCTTTGCCTGAGTCTGTCCTCCAGTAGAAAGACTGTTCTTTTGCCTAACAATGGACTTCTCAGATGCTCCTGTAGCTTCTTGATAGCTGAGGTCAGAGGACAGTGATGCCCTGTTTTTAGTTTGTGTTGAGTCTTCAATGTTAAAACCCTTCATGTACTTTTCAGCAGCATAAAGACTGTCTGGTAAGCCTCTTATGATTAACTTATCTTCATTCTTCTTAAGTTGTACATTAAAATCTTCAAATTTCTTAGCATTAAGTAGTTTATTTAAAGTTTTCTTCTGATCTTCTGAAAGCTTCATGCTTTTTTCTCTTAACATTGCAGAGGCACTCTGAAATGCACTGATGAAACTTTCAGTAGCATGTGACGACATATCAGAAGTTTTGTGTTTAGGCCTAAATATTATGACCTTCTGGCCATATGAATTCTCTTTTATTTCTACCAGTGTATCAAATTTGTCATTTATGTTTTCAATTTCTTTGGTTAATATGGTTTCTAACAATTTAAACATAGAAGCATCAACTTCAATTCCATTCCTGTATTTGTAGCATTCGGATGATATTTTCAT